TTCTAAGTAGGTGCTTTAGACCACTGAGCCATCTCACCAGCCCTATTTATCTATTTTTTTGAGACACAATCTTGCTATGTTGTTCAGGCTGGACTTGAACTCAGCATGTAGCCCAGGCTGGCCTCATACCCAGTGATCAAGACAGTGATCCTCCTGTCTTAGCCTCTGGAGTATACCATGCTCAGCAGTGATTAATATTAATGTATCTTTTCCCATACTTTTTTTTTAAACATTACACAGTTTTTTATTAAATGAGAAAGCCTCATTTGTTACATCATCACATTGCTAGTCAGAGAAATGTTGCAGTGTTGAAGAAAGTCAGTGTTGGATCAACCAAAGTCCCCATTTCTACAATATTCATTTACAAAGAAATAATGTTTAGCACAGCCCAACATAATCTTGGTTTTCTTCATACTAAAGTCCCCCCAAAAATCGTCTTCTAATGGGGTATTTCACTACATAAATTATAATTTTTCATTTTTTACAATTCACCCCAAACTACATGAGAGTTTTCCCATACTTTTAATTTCATATTTTTTTTTTTTTTTTTTTTTTTTTTTCAGGGATTGAACTCAGATCCTTATGTTTGCCAGTCAAGCGCTTATCCTACTGAGCCATCTCCCCGGCCCCACAGATTTTTAATATATGATAACACTATGTGATTTGTGTGAAGTCACACTGATAGCAGATTTAGGGCCAGGTTATAAACTTATGGTAGTCCAGATAGTAATGACTGTTTAATTGGGGGGGGGGCGTTAAAAGGTATCGCTAAAATATTAGAGTACACCAAAGAGGAGAAGTTGAATTAATTGTCACATGCTACCAATTTTCAAATACATAGCAGTTTCAGATATGTTGAAATATGTGTTGTTGGGCATAGTGGCATACACTTGTAATCCCAGCACTCAGGAGATAAAAGTTGGAGGATGACCTCAAGTTTGAGGCTAGTTTGAGCTACCTAGTGAGGCATGTATCAAAAAACCAAAACAACAATAACAAAATATCTATCTTTTAATAGTCGTGGGACATAGGAAGTATAAACTATTTAGTTAATCGATTATCCTTCCAGACAGGGTGTTATGTTTGCTTCTCTGCCAGTGGTATTACTAGTTAGGGAGTTCTTGAAATTAGTCTTGGAGTTTTCTCTTTTTTTGACCATGCTAATAATGTGTAGTCACACGCTGGTCCTAAAGGTTGGTACCTGTAGTAGCAAATTGTTGGGCAGACTTGAAATCTAATTGAGGGTAGGTCCTCTCTAGTTGAAATCTAAGCAATACACAGAACTATTATTAAGTCATTTAGTTTACTTGCTGACCATCTGGCTACAGATTAAACAATTAAATCCCCAGAAGTTGTATTGTAACTAGTAACTTTCTAAAATTGCTTTTAAATTAAGTTCTTAAAATTGCAGCAATAAACAAAACACAATACACTTAAACAATACCGTTTATTTAAAAAAAGGTAATCTTAAAGTTACATCCATTCTTAAAGTTACATCCAAAAGAAGGCAAAACTACCTACGAATTGGCATATCTGTTTATTTGTGAAAACGTCCTTAATTTGCTGATGTGGCAAACAAATGTCAACTCTACTAATGCAAAAACATAATCTGCTTTGCAATTAACTTTATAGTTCAATTGCATACAGGCAACATGCTATATATGAAAAAATTACTAACTGAACTACAAATATTAAATACTGAAAAATTAACAGTTTATTATAATTTATTTTATTTAACAATCTAGGAAGTTCGCAGCCATCAGCAGTTCCAGCGCTATCTCAGGTGCGATGGGAAATTCAGGAATCTCAGTGGAGCTGTTAGTGTAGCGCACCTTGTAGGTAAAATACATGCAGACTTTTGAAAGCACATGTGAAGGGATTTCTCTGAAATTAACCTCATTGGTTTCATTCTCAGCAAACTGACCTGGGCCACTCAACATGGCTTTTATTGTTCCTGATGTTAGTGCATGCTCTCTTTTTACAATAAACTCATGACCGTCAGAAGATATCAATTTGACATACATGGCATCCGGGCCTTCACAGCCACCATAGGTTTTCTCTTCTCCATCCATTATGTTCTTATATAATTCTACTTTCGTTCCACAGGAACTTTCTTTAGTAGCTTCTCGTCCACACCACGGCGACCGCAGCCAAGTCTGCCCCGACCGCCGCAGCCCCTACTCCAGGGCGGCTCCCCTACCCCCAGCCGCCTACCCCTGTGTGAAATCTAAGCAGCTTCAACAGTTCAGGCGTTTGTTTTATTTGAAGGTCTGAGTGCTGGCACCCTGCTTACTGGGATGGAGACCGTCCCTGAAAGCCTCTAGAGGCTTTCAAATCCCAAGCCAGCTGTTAATCCCTGAGACTGATGGGGCAGGTGTTATTATTCTGATTTCCAACCTCTGGAGACTTTCCTGATGTTCTTGCTAGCTGAACCATACATTTGTTGTTGTTGTTAGTTTCTGTTTATGATTCATTGTGATGGCATTCAGTTTGGGTTATTGATAGCATGTGTATATCTCATATTGGTCATTTTTACTCCCTCTGCCCTGAACTATGAATTTAAAGGAGTGTTTTATACTTGTGTTGACTTTTGTCAGAAGAGCAGTTTTCAAGCCATTGTTTCTGTTTTAATTAATGTTTTATATTTTTGGAATATAAAATTCTGGAAACGTAAGTTTTTGAGTATATCTTTTTAAATGGTCATTTCTCTGTCTTTGGTTTTTTTGAGTGTTTTATTATATTGAATAATGGTGTTATAACTTACTTTTTAACTACTGTAGAACTGCATGAACTAAATGTAGTTTTAATCCTTACTGAAATTCTAGTCTTTCAATTTAGGTAGTAATATGTTAGAAGCCTACCAGTAAGTAAAGTCTCAGATCAGTTAGACTCAACGCTTGGACGTAATTCTGCTGTTTAACTTTTGAAGCAAGCCTTCAATGCAGTGCTGTATTCCTGACTGCATTGAAGATCCACCTTTGAGAGTGGAGAAAATTAGATTTGACTGGTCAACTACAATGAAAAGAGAACTTCCTTGAAAATCACTTATTTCAGATTGCTTCTATCAATTGTAACTGTTACCAAAATATTTTTTTTCTCTTTTCTAAGTTTGCCATCAGAATTTTTGCTTAGTAAAAACAGATTATAAATTAACAAATTTCACTAATTATGCTCTTGTTTAATAGATCAGATGAAAAGAAAAACATGAACTGGAAGCAGCTTCCCAAAAAGCCATGCAAGAATCTCCTCAGCACCTTAAGGAAATTATATCCCCAGCTATCTTCAGGTACACACAAGAAGAAAGCAGTTTGGGGGTGGGCTAGGACTGAGGAACTGAAGAAAGGAATTGCTTTCTTTTTCTTTTTAGTGTATTTGGTGCAGGTTCTCACTATGCAGCTCTGACTCGTGATTCTCCTGTTTTCAGCCTCCCCAGTGCTGGGATTACAGGCGTGTGCTACCATGCCTGGACTCAGTATCAGGGTCAGCGTACCAGGGGGGCAGAGCCCACATGGCATGTGGTGCCAGAGATCAAACCCTGGTCCCTGTGCTTGCCTAAGCAGATGCTTAGTCTGTTGAGCTGTCTCACCAGCTCCAAAAAAGGAACTTCTGAGATGGTGTCTCACTTAGTGGTTCAGACTGGCCTTAAACTTACTATGTAGCTCAGGCTGGTTTTTACTTTGTGGCAATCATCCTACCTCATCCTCTCAAATCCTGGGATTACAAATGTGCACCAAACCAGCCACCTAAAAAAGGAATGTTTTAAATGAGAGAATGTATATGAGAGAATTCTTAAACATAATTTTGTCCTGTTTTATGACCTTTGTAAAGGATTTTTAACTTTATTTAGTGTTGTCTTGACCATAATTAAAAGAGAACATTGTCTTGTGGCCTCCCAGAGGGTAAATGTGTTGCAGCTCATGTGCAATTCCTTACAGTCCTTGCTTGGTCCTCCTCCAGTGTCTCCTCTTGGAGTGGTACCTGGTTTTATTACCTGTCTTTGTACGAATCCTGCATACTGAGGAATGAGGCGATTCTGCTTTTGCTTCTTGGCCAGAAATCATTTTATTCTGAAAGTCTTGTGAGAAGACATGGTTAGGGGAGGAGGCAAGAGCATGCACTTGATGGTGGACTGAAGCAGAAGAGGCAAAGGAATTTCTGAGACAGTGTCTCACTTAGTGGTTCAGGCTGACCTTGAACTTATGATGTAGCCCAGGCTGGTCTTCAGTTTGTAGCAATCTTCCTGCCTCAGTCTCCCAAGTCCTGGGATTACAAATTTGCACCAAAACACCCACCTAAAAAGGGAATATTTTAAATGAGAGAATGTATATGATAGAATTCTTAAATTTATTGTTTATTTAGTTTTATGTATTTAGTACAGGGTATACAGGGTCTCACTACACAGAAAGACTCGTCGTGATCCTCTTGTTTTCAGCCTCCCAAGCGCTGGGATTACAGGCCTGCACCACCAAGCCCAGTCTCAGTTGCGGTCATAGCGTGCCTGAGGGCGGAGCCAGACCCTGGTCCCTGCATCTGCCTAAGCGGGTGCTTTAATCTGCTGAGCTATCGAATTCTTAAATTTAAACATAGTTGTGTCCTGTTTAATGACTTTTGCTTGTTTTTGCAGTGCTGGGGATAAAATGTTGGGCCTCATACATAGTGGGCAGATGCTCTACCAGTGAGCCATCCCCTCGCCCAGCCTTGTTGCACTTAGGAAGTCTTACTGTAATTTTGAGCATAGTCTGTGTGCCCTGTGTGCTTGAGCCTTCTTGCTAGCCTCTATCGGTGATCTCCTAATGGTGACACAGAGGAATTTCAGGAAATAATGGACTCGGGGCTGGGGGGTGGCTCAGTAGAGTAAGTAGAGTAAGGCAAGTGCAGTGTCCTGAGTTATCCCCAGCACCACACACACACACACACACACACACACACACACACACACACAAAATAGACTTTATCTTACTTTGAATATTTCCTTTTTTTTTTTTGTATTTTAGGGAAGGGCCCACAGGGTGTTCAGGGTCTCACAACTAGATCGGATTTGTAGTGATCCACCTGTTTACAGGCTCCCAAGAGCTGGGATTACAGTTGTCCCACCACCCCAGCGTGGGTTGCCATCTCAGCACGCCCCAGGGGTGGGGCCGGTGTGGCAGGGCCAGGGATTGAACCTCAGACCCTGCGCCTGCTTTCAGGCACTTTAATTTGCTGAGCTGTTTGGCCAGCCCTCTTGACTACTTACTTAACCAGGCAGTCATTATATAAAGAGTTTTATATATTAATGCTATTGTTTTTTGCTTTTACTTTGTCAGTTCACCGAAAAACTCAAGAAGGTTCTGCAGTGGAGATGACTCCAATTGATGCAGATTTTTCCTGGCAGAAAAAGATGATGCAACTTGAGATGGAGATTCAGGAGGCATTTTTGCGATTTATGGCATCTATTTTAAGAGGATATAGAGCCTATCTCAGGCCTATCACAGAGGCACCGTCAAAGAAAGCCACTGCGGTCGATTCTTTGTTTGATCGACAGGGTAACATTGACAATAGTTGTTTTTATTTTATTTATTTAATTATTTATTTTTTAAATATAGGTTTCACCTGTGAGCTTCAGGTTTATTTTTTTTTTTAATTTAATTTTATTTATTTGTGTGTGTGTGTGTGTGTGTGTGTGTGTGGCCAGCTCAACCCACCAGGGGGCGGGGCTGGCTGGCATGTGGTGCTGGGGGATTGAACCGCGGTCCCTGTGCTTTGCTATGCTTGTTCTAAGTAGGTGCTTTAGTCCACTGAGCCATCTCACCAGCCTGAAAATAGTTGTTTTTAATTGAAGTAAAAACTAGTTTGTTTGTATTATTACTACCAAATGTTGATTAAAGTTCTTAGGGATTTATATTAAAATATACTGAAGTCCCATGAATTTGTAATATATCTATATGAATAGAGAATTTATTTTTATTTTAAAAAATTGTTTGAGACAGAATCTCACTGATAGTCCAGACTGGCCTTGAACTAGTTATGTAGCTTGATCTAGCCTTGAATTTGAGATTATTATGCTTTAGACTCCCAAGAGCTGGGATTATGCATACTACCATTCCTCCTATCTCTTAATTTCTATACTCTGTTATTTGCTTAAGAAATCTGAAATTGTAGGTCTTTACTTATGAAAAATCAAAGATGTTCATATTTAGAATACTACATAATCTATTGTTTTAGCAAAACATAGCTGATGATTAGCTTTTAGTTGTTTCCTCAATTTTGTATATTCCTGGAATTATATGCTTTGCCTTTGAGAGATTCCCTAATGATTAGTTTGTAGAATAAGGCCACCAGGTAGTTAGTTTATTTTTTTGGTACAGTGTCCCACTACGCAGCTTGGACTCATAGTGATCCTCTTGTCTCAGCCTCCCCAGTGCTGAGATTACAGGTGTCACCACCATATGGCTGGGTTCTGTGGCCAGAGCACTGTGCCTGAAGTTCCAGGGCAGACACGGCATGCAGTACTAGGGATCAAACCCAGGTCCTTGCATTTGCCAGGCAGGTGCTTAGACTGCTGAACTATCTTCCCAGCCCAGAAGCCACCAGTTTTTTTAATTTATGTATTTGGTACAGGGTCTCACTACGTGGTTCAGATTTATAGTGGTCCTCCAGTTTCAGCCTTCCCACCCCTGGGATTACTGGCCTGTGCCACCATGCCTGGTTTTGGGAGGCCACCAGTTTTTAAGCATTCTGACAAAAAACTTGTAACTTTGTTTCAGGGAAAATATGTACTCATTCTTTTTAGATATGTAGCTTTGTGGAGTTATAAATATTTTTTAGGGGCTGGAGAGATGGCTCAGTGGTCTAAAGCACCTACTTGGAACAAGCTTGGCAAAGCACAGGGACCACGGTTCAATCCCCCAGCACCACATGCCAGCCCACCCCGCCCCCTGGTGGGCTGAGCTGGCCACACACACACACACACACACACACACACACACACACACACACACACACACACACACACACACACACACACACACACACAATAAATGTTAAAATAAAAAAAAAAGATTTTTTTATGTTCTTCAGTTAAATTTTATGTAGTAGCAACTTTACATCTACATCAGTATTCATATGAAAATTATTTTAGTTTTACCCAGTAGTTACTTTTTTCGAGAGGTATTGTTGCCAATAATCTTTTTGTCTTTATATCTTTTCTGCTTCAGGATAATTTACTATACAGATACTCAGTAACCACTTACGAGTTTCACTAATTACTGTGTAGGACTATAAAGAAAAAGTGTAACTCTGGAATTCTTTTTTGGGGGGGAGGTTGGAGGAGAAAAGGTCTTACTATGTAGTTCTGGCTGGCCCAGGCTGGCCTTGAATTCACAATAATCATCCTGTTTCAGCACGAGTCTGGGATTACAGGGGTGCGCCATTATGCCTGGTAACTCTGTGGAACTCTTAAGAAAAAAATCTAAAATATTTTAAAAATAGAACAAGTATTCAAGGAAGCAGATTTCACATGATAATTCAGAAAAAGAGGACATCTCCCAAGTGGGTATTTTGGAAGACTTCAGTAATGAAAAACATAAATTTGAAAAATAAATAGACAAGATAAATGAGGGGCTGGGGAGATGGCTCAATGGAATAAGTGCTTCCCAGGCAAGCACAAGGGCCTGAGTTCAATCTCCAGTTCCACCAAAAAAAAAAAAAAGAAAGAAAAAAAAAGATAAATGAGAATGGAAAGGCTTTCTACAAGTCCATGGGTGTCAACCGGCCGTCTCTGAATAAGGGTACGGCCATTCACAAACCCTTCACATGGCTCTGGTTTCTTAGTAGTAGAATGGGAATAATATATTGGGAACAACTAGTAAAAGTACTATTAAATACTTAGTAATAAGATCTAGTTGAATTGTTGATGGTAGTAACAATACATAGTGTACATCAAGAACAAAAGCAGAGGTGTATGGAGTAGCTTGCAGAGTAGAGCTCGTGGTCTCACAGCTCTGGAGGCCTCACTAAGGTCAGGGTGTAGTAGGGCTGGTTCCTTCTGAGGACTCTTTCCTTGGTCTCTAGGTGATGTTTTTTTCCCTGTGCTCTGCCTGTGTGTTTGTGTTAAGGTCCTCTAGAAGGACACTAGTCACACTGGACTAGGGCCCACCCTTACTGCTTCCTTTTAACTCATTTATCTCTCTCTCTTTGTTTTGTTTTGTTTTGTTTGGCCAGCTCAGCCTACCCTGAGTGTGGGGCTGGTGCAGCATGTTTTGCCTGGGATCTAACCTCAGTCTCTGTAACTCATTTATCTGTTTAAAAATCTGACCTCTATGTACAATCATATTCTGAAGTAACAGGGGTTAGAACTTTAACATATGAATTTCTGGGGAATACAGTTCAGTCCATTTGTAATAGTGTGTTTCCAGATAACAGTATGATTGGACAAGGCGTCAGGAGCTTTACGTGTGATGTGGAGGATAAAGTAAGGTTAGGTCGCAGGTGGTGTGAAGATAGGGCCAGTTGAAGGGTATTGACTGTTCCCTAATAGGCAGGAGTGCATTCGCTGGCCCTTGCTCTCTGGATAAGTGATGTTGCTTAGTTCCTGAGTCCTAAGATTTGTGTAGTGAATGTTCCAGCTTTTGGTTCATGTTATTATTTCAATCTAAAATGTCCCTATGGACTCCCAAGTGTTTAGAAGTGGGGAGGGACCCAGCTGAACATGCGACAAGGAGGTGGGCCTGTTTAGAAGAGGCGCTCCCTGGGGGATACCGTGGAAGGTGTATTCCTGTCCCTGGCTGCCCCTCTGCTTTGTGACTGCCACAAGTGGAGCATATTAGTTCCACCAGGCCCTTGTGTGGTGCCATTTCTGCCATGGAGCCAGGTGACCTTGGCTGGAACTGGCTGAAGCCTGGAACCCGAATAAAATTCTCCATAGGTTACGGGTCTCGAGCTCGGCGCTCCAGACCCTAGTACTGGGGCTTGGGTTCACGGCATTCACAATGCCCTACATCTCTACTACTTTTTTATTTTATTTCTTTAAAATTTTGAGACATGGTCTTGCTGATTAACCAAATGGTCCAAGCTGAGCTTGAATTTGGGATCTTCATGCCTCAGCTTCCCCAAGTGCTGGGATTACAGGTATGTACCACTGCTCTAGGGGGGAGCTGCTCTTTTATCCATGATAGGAAAAGGACTGTGGATGTGGGTACTAGACAAAAAACCCCCCAAAACCAATGGCATGTTGTCGAGACAAATATTAATCATTGCAATGAGAATGCCAGTTTGGTTAAGTAAAGAATATCCTGAAGGAATAACATGATTAGCCCCCTGCCTCCCCCAAAGTGAATAGAAATTAGCTAATGACTTGGGGTTAACTTTTTAATTTTTATTCATTTATTTTTTATGTATTTGGTACAGGGTCTAACTATGCAGCTTGGACTCATAGTGATCCTCCTGTCTTCACCCTCCCCTGCGCCGGAATTAGAGGCGTGTGCCACCGTGCCTGACTTGGTGCCTGCCTCATTGCGCCTGCGGGCAGGGGCAGGAGTGGCATGGGTGATGTGGCCTGTGGTGCCAGAGATCAAACCCTGGTCCGTCAACTTGCCTACGTAGGTGCTTAGTCCACTGAGCTCTGTCGCCGGCCCTGGCGTTGACTTTTTATTAGACATACTTTTACAAATAAGAACAGAATAATGTGCCCATACACAGTCTTCAGCAGCCAGTGGTTTTGTTCTGCCGTCTTTACCTACCACGCCCTTCTCTTCTTTCTCTGCTGCTCGGTCATTCTCCCTGCCCTTCTCATTTTGAGGTGCGTTCCAAGCACAGCATCATTTCCTCTGTAATAAGTTATGCTGTGGTTCCTTTAGAATTTCCTGGACTTGTAAGTGATTTCATTGATTGTATCTCTTATTTGACATTTCTTCCATCCACCTGTATTTCCTGTAAGCTTGTGGTTGGGTCAAGAGCTATGTTGTCTAGTAGAAGCATATTGTGAGCTACAAAGATAACTAAATTTTCTAGTAGCCACAATAAAGAAGTAAAAAATAAGAGACATTAATTTTAATATGTTGTTTCTAAAACTCCAAAACAGGATCATTTCAACATGTAATCAAGCTTTCAAAATTATTAACAAGATAATTACTTTTTTTTAATACTAAGTCATTGACGTGCTGCATGTATGTTATGTTTAACAGCGCCTTCCACTTTGGATCAGTTACTTTTATCTTATTTTATTTTTTGGTTGGCTCAGGCTGCCTTAAGGGCGGGTCTGGTAAGGCATGTGGAGCTGGGGATCAAACCACCATATCCTGTGCCCGACTGCGTTTGCATAAGCAGGCGCTTAAACAGCTGCGCTAACCGGCAGGCTCCTGGATCAGTTACTTTTAAAGTGATGAATTGCCACATGTGGGTAGTGGCTGTCAGAGTGATGCGTATAGATCTAGATGCTTGATTAGGTCCAGGTTCAGTTTTCTTGGCAAGTAGTAGAAACATGGCGCTCACTACTCTCCATCACTGCACACTGTACTGAGAGCTGTATGTGTACTTGGCTGTCCCTTCTGGTGCTTCTAAAAAGTTTCTTTAAAAGTGGATTCATTCATTCCAGCTGTTCTATTAGCTTTTCACTCAGTTGCTTTTTAGTAGCTTTGCTGATCATTATCTAAATACATTTAAAAAATACTAGTATTTACTGGTGGATAGGACTCTTTCTTTTTTTTTGGTTTTTTAATTTTGAGACAAGGTCTCACTTTGTAGTTCAGACTGTCATTGAAATCACCATGTAGCCTCGAATTCATGGCAATCCTCCTGCCTCAGCTTCCTGAGTGCTGGTATTATAGGCCTGTGCCACCACTCTTGGTTCTACTGGTTCTGTTTTATTTAGTGATTTCTCTTCTAATTAGCATCTCGAGGAGATAGGTGTGGACCACAACATGTGGAATGCCTTGAGGCATCAGAGAAAGAAAAGCTAGAGGAAAAGTAGACTCAGAAACCATCTTTTAAATGGAGGTGGGGCACGTTGGCACTCGTACTCGAGAGGGTCAGCCTGAACAAGCACACAAAAAAGCATCACTGGATGGGAGCGCGTAGCTAGATTAGGGAGGATCCTTTAGAATTAAATTTCAGTTTTTATCCTAAGAGTAATTGGACATTTTTGGAGGATATTTATCCACTTACCAGTTTAATCATTTAAATGGAGAATGGTCAAATATTGCACATTTTCTATTAATAGGAAATATAAAAATGGCAGTTTTATCCGATTCAGTAATTTGTATATATTAAAACAGTCAAAGCACAGTGCAGTGTTACAAATCTGGATAGTGCTATTTGTCTCTTTCTGAATTCTTTTGTATCACTGTCTTTCTTTGAACAGCACACTTAACACTGTGGTGCTGGCCTGACCTTTTTTCTGTGGCTGGTGTAATTTCATTAAGCAACAACCCACCAGACATACTACTGAAGACATTACTGATAAGTGTCCTGCTTGGCACGTCACTGTCTTGTAGTTTTCACCTACTTGGTCTGTTAGACTTAATAACAAACTGCAAATGATTTTCTGAACTACTTTGTTTTGAATAAGTAATAAGTTCCATATTGTTTGGTCCAGAAGGTGCATAAATGTTTTATATTTTTTCCTTGCGTTTTGAGTATATGATAGCTTATTAGATGTTGGTCAACTCTGTCAACACCAATGTTACAATCATTGACCACTGTTGGAATTTTTTTAGTTTGTTTTTTTGTGTTAAGTCCTGCCATTTCTGTATTATGAATAGCTGACAATAAGGAAGTATCTTTTTCTTTCCGTTTCATAGCACAGACTTTTCTTCTCTCTGATATACTAACATTTTTCCTTTTTCAGCTATTTTTCCTTTTGCAGATTCTTTTACTTAACAGTAAGAGTTTTTATAGTTTATAGCACAAAGTTTAGATTATTTTTCACAAATAAATATGAATTAATAAAAGAGAATAACCAGAATTTACTAGATTTCACTTGAAACAAACATCAAAATTGATGGATATGGTTCAAAAAAATTAAAAAGCATGCAAAAATAGTCAATATAAAATGTGTATCTTGTGCACCAAAAATCTGTTGGTTGAAATGACCCTGCCAGAGTGATCTTGGAATAGTCAATGTGTAGACAAATGAGTGACACTCAGGATAAGCTGTTAAGTGGTTAAGTTAGTAAGAGGATCCAACTTGCATTTAAGAAAAATCACTCTTAGAGTATTCTAAAAAAAGAGGATAAAGAAAAAAAGTGTTAAAGAAGGAATCTCTTTGGCTTATATGAGGACATAGCATTGGAAGTAGGGAAGAGTGAAGTATGGATTTGCTAACTAGGAACTTCAGGCATTGGTCGACATGATCAGCGCAGGTTACTGGAATTAGCTCAGTGTAGTTTGAATAGAAGAGCAGCCTCTCAGAGTTATGTTGACTAGGTGATTGACTATGGATTGTAAGACAGGAGATGTCAAGAGCACCTTTGGAGTTTTAAAAAAAAATTCAGTATTCTTATTAATTTTTATTTTTATTTTTTTAGATAGGATCTTGTTGTGTAATTCTGCTTGACCTCGAACTCACTGTGTAGCCCAGGCTGACCTCAAACTTGTAGTGATCCTCCTGCCTCAGTCTCCCAATGCTGGGATTATAAGCATGTACTTGGCGTTTTTTTTTTTTTTTGTTTGTTTGTTTGTTTGTTTCAATTAAGTAAATGATGGCACTCTTTATTGGGAAGTAAAAAAGAAAAAGGGGGACCTGATCAGTTGCTTAAGAAAAATTTTTCTTTTGAAGTTAAAAACAAGAGACTTGCTATATAGATTAGACAGGAAGAGTGGTCCTGAGAACACGGGAGAATTTAAGTCCCAGGCTCATGCAGCGGGCAAGCTTGTCGGTGTGAACGATAGCAGAGAAGGATGCATAGATGAGAAGGACCCATCTGTGCCATTCCATTGGAAGGTTTATTTTGCTGGTGTGTAGGGTCTGGTTATTTGGGTGGGAGGATGAGCACAGAGGGGAGAACATTTGAAAATGGGAAATTGAAATAAAAACAGATAGAAGGAGATTGTATTGATTCCAAAAATGATGTAGGGTTGTCAGTCAAGATTTAAGGCATACTCCAGGATTGATCTGCTGAGTTTTGGAAGTATTTTTACCCCTTGTGTTCAGTCATTCGAAGTGTGGAGTCAGGGAATGCAGGCAGTACGTTCTTCTGAAGTGCCAGTTATGCTATGGAGGTTTGGCCAAAAAGACAAAAGAGCAAATGGCTTGAGGATATTGGTAAGAAATCATTGAAATAGTGGATGCAGATGTGGAACATCAATAATAGGCAGAAAAGTAGAGACAGGAGGGCATAGGTGGAAGGTAGGAGGGCCTGTGAGCTGCTGGTGAGAGGCACCTTTGGGTCTTTGAAAATCTAGGAGTAAGGAGTTAAGGAGCCCCGAGTTGCGTGGTCTCTGCCTGCAGGGACAGAGAATGTGATGGTGCGAGTCAGAGACCTGAGACCAAGACCCTGGTCCTCTGTGAGCTAGTGGGAGGGCGTCCCAGTGTTAGGAGAGGACCCTGGCTGGGAGAGGAGCGGTGGCGAGAGGTGGGTGAGGCAGGTAGCTCAGCTCAGCTGAGCAGGGTGTTGACAGGGCTTCACGGGAACACTCCGTGGGCTGGTGGCACGCCGGCTTCCTGGTGTGGAGACACAGTAGTGGCCGCAGAATTTCTGTTTGGAGCTGAGATGCTAGAGGCACCTCAGAAGGTACTCAGATTTCAGTGAAAAGGTCCGTGGTACAAGTTATTTTTGTGATTGAATCAAACAGAAGAACTGATTATTAAATCTTCTGAAAATATATTTGTGTGTAGGAAGAATGTAATGTAGATTAATTTAAGATAATGCAACATTCAGTTCTTAAAACTTGACTTTAATTGTAATTTTGTTTTCTTTAGGATTTTTAAAAAGTAGAGATCGTGCCTATACAAAATTCTATACACATTTATCCAAAACACAGATTTTTATTCGTTTTATTGAAGAATGCAGTTTTGTGAGTGATAAAGATACTGGATTGGCATTTTTTGATGACTGCATAGAGAAGGTAAAAATTTGTCCTAAAGTTAAAAAATAGATTGGCTGTCCTATGTAACAACCCTCCTTTCCTCCTCCTCCTCCATAATAATATGAGAAAGACCATGTAAAGCTGTGTATGTGAGATTGATTGACTGACTCATTGATGGATTGATTCTGAGCATAATATAAGAATCATTTTACCTATTCTTTTCTTTTGGTGGCCTGCTCAGCCTGCTCTTGGGGCAGGGCTGGTGCAACATATGGTGCCAGGGATCGAAGAGCTGTCCCTTTGCTTGCCTAAGCTTGCATAAGCAGGCACTTCTAGACTGCTGTCTCCCCAGCCCATTTTTTTCTAATTTTTAATTTGGTTTTCATTTTTGCTGAGTAGATCTTTTGGTTGATTGTTAACATGAGCCATGTATTATGTAAAATTTGGGACCATGTCCATAAGAGATAGAATATTACGTTTTAATTTTTATGGTCCCTAGATAGAAGGAAGAAAATACCCTCCATAAAAAGCCAGAAAGCATAAATGATAGCTGAAAAAGATTCATAGATTTTATGGTGAGATTGTGTTTTATTTTCTTTGCAATATTAGGTGCAGTCTGCTTAGAAGAATTAAATGATTTTCTCTCATTCTGTCTAAAGCTCCAGATAAGATTATTTGGTATTTTTGTTTATTATAAAATTGATATTCCTATGTCTTCTAATTAAAGCTTAGGTCATGCCAGTCACTAATGAGTTTAAGTGTGATGGTTTTTGGTGTTTTGCCAGTTCAGTCTGCCCTGGGGGGGCTGGCATGGCACGTGGTGCTCGGGATCAAGCCTTGGTCCCCTGCACTTGCCTAAGCTCTGCCTAAGCAGGTGTTTTAGATGCTGTCCTGTCTCACCAGCCCTATGATGAATTTTTTATTTGAAAAGCCAGATTACTCTTGTGATTGATTGTTTGTTTGTGAATGAGGCTCTTGAAATAACTTAATGAACTAAAATTATTTTCTGTCCTATTAGCCACGAGACAAATTTTTTTGGTTGTTTGATACCTGGGATTGAGCTTAGGATCTTGCACTGGACAGGCAGATGCTTATGCTGCTGAGCTATCTCCCCAGCCCCAAACGTTATTATATATATATTTTTTTAATTTTGTTTTTTTCTGACTCAGCCCACCCTGAGGGCAAGGCTGGCACAGCATAATGTGCTGGGGGAATCAAACTGTGGTCCCCTGTGTCTGCCTAAGCAGGCACCTTAGGCTGCTGAGCTATCTCGCTGGCCCCCAAATATATTGTAATTTGAAGCATAAGACCTAAAAAGACATATGGTTCTGAAAAAAAGTTTCTTTAAAAATCTGTTAAATTCACAGTGAATATTTTCACTAAGACTTTCTTTTCTCTTTTTGTAGTTGTTTCCTGATAAAGGCACAGAGAAAACAGATAAGGTATTTTTTAAAAATTTAAGTGTTGCAGTTTCAGAATTAGCTCTTCCATATACACAGGTTAATTGGAGAATGTAATTACTTTCAGGTTGATATTGAATCATTAGAAGATACCAAGTTGATAGAACTGGATGAATCCCAGAAGAGTGAGCACACTGTGTACATAATGTTCCCCGAGCCGCCACCTGAGGATGGAGAGGACCCGGCCCCGAAGTACAGGTAGCAGGAAATCTCTCAAGAGCTGCTCGGGCACAGATTGGGTAGTTCATTCCAATTTTTTGTTATTATTAGTAGATATTTATATTAATTCAGTGAACTAAGACAGATGGGTGTTGTACGGAGATATCACTAGGTACTATAAGAATTAGATGGTCTTGTTAGAAAGGAAGCCAGATGTTATTATTCACCTAAACATTTAGCCATATTTTACAGTTTAAAAATTTCAATTCTGAAAAAGAAAAAGAATTAACTTTTTGTGAGGCTCCTTACTCCCTTTGGGAGTTTTACAAATATGAATAATCCAAAATTCTTATTAATTAGTAAGAAAGGAAAAACTTAAAGGAGAAAACTAGGAATCATTCTTTGTTAAAATAAACCCAAAGAGTAAGCTTTACATGGGAATCTGTAAAGAAATTAGAATGAATATTTGCCATTAGAATCATGATCCATAGTTCAATAAACTTAAAAAAACCAGACAAAAAAATCTAATACATCTCTTTAGTACTGTTATATCTTTTAGTAACTGCACATGTGTGTGTGCCTTATATGTATGAGTTCAGCTCATACATATTCTTCGTA